CATATATGTTAGAGTTATATGTTCTGATCCCGTATTAGTTGCCAAAAGAATTTGTTCTCTATTTCAACCACCAAGTTGTATGTTTTATTCTATTGCAAAAGAATTTAAGTTCTTGTCATGCTTTGAAATGTTAAACTTCCATTGGATAGCAAATTTGTAGGCAGACTTGGTTGTACCTTGATAGGAAATACTTGATTTCAAGTAGTTCCTAACCAAAACTGAAGCCGAACAAGGAGAAAAACTGCTGTCTCGAACAGTGGACAGCAACTATGCGCAGGAAAAACAGTGAATATTGCGAGAATATTGGGAGACAACGCAAGCAAAGACTTGTATTTTTACTTTGAAATGTTAAACTTCCATCGGATAGCAAATTTGTAGGCAGACTTGGTTGTTGTACCTCCATAGTCATTATACCCAATGAAGCTGTTTGTGGTCTCTCTCTATCTAAAAATGATGTGCATTAGTATTCCTATCTGTAAACAACTTCAAGAAGCCTATTGTTCTTTTTGTGAGTTCCACATTATTTGAAATGAAATCAAGGTATGACCCATCAAAGTTCTCCCACTCTTCTCATTCGAGCTGTTTTCTTTAACAAAGGTTCTTATCTATGCAATGCACATGCTCCTTCACGTGATTTTTAGCTGGGAATTACTTATTGGAGTTGAGAGATCATTTATCTCTTGGAGGGTAGGTTCTATTGGCATTCTCTGGAGCACAATTTTACAACTTCGCCAATATAGGAATTATCAACTAAGTAAAGCTGTGAAACAAGGTGGTGATTTGTATGCCTTCTACTTACTCCTCATGCCATGCGGGCAAGATGTAATTGCTTGGCATTATGCGCAAAATCAAGCAATATAGCTAATTCTTATAGAAGTAATCTGGGATTTGAGGTTGGTGGTCTTTGATTATGTCTTGGTTTATTTAGGACTTGTCATTTTACATGAAGTACCTTTAAAAACTCCATGTGAGTGCTTTTAATTTTTTTTTCTTATCCCACTATTAGAAGAGATTAGGTACCAATGCAAAAATATTGGACTTTTAAGTTGAGTTAATACCAGTCCTGCTTACAGACTGAGGAGTTGTTACCTTATCTAGGCACTCTGAGCCTCCTTTGCTTCCTACAAGTTTTCTTCAGTGGATTCCTTGCATCTCTTCAATCAACAATACTAACTCGTTTGATTGGTCACTCTCCTGCTAATGATTCTTTGAGCGCACACGATGAATTGCAGGAATTGGCTTGTGATCTGCCTGATATGTTCGATACCTTTCACTCTCCAAAGGGGAGTTAATGTCATCCCTAGAAGTTGGTGTAGATCAACCATCAACATATATTTCTCACAACCTGGATATTATATTGGTACAGTAGACTCAATGATCACTGACTTGCCAGATAGATGGGTTTTGATAGTTCAATGACATTCTATTTTATCATACATGCTCTAATGATAATCTCCTCTAAGTAACTTCATAAGGAAAATAATTTCTAAATTTTTGGATGAATGAAAGGTGGGCCCCAAGTGGATTGCTTTCTTTCTTTACTCGTCCTACTATTGCTCTGCACACCCACTCTCTTCCCCTTTGTCCTTTTCCTCACTTCTTTCCAATGAAGCGCCAAATCTTGGCCTTTCACTGCTTTTTCATGGCATTACCCTCATTACATTACCGTGCTCAAAACACTAATAAGAATTCAAGAAAATGAATAATGTATTCACTGCCTGATGTTGGTTGTGTGTGCGTTTTGCGGATATCTGCATTGTCATTGGTTAAATCCCTCAAGAAGAATGGGTTCGTGTTTATATAGGTTTTATAAGGCTTATTGAATTCTTCAGATAAACGTATACATCTCTCTCGACACTTGATTATCCCTTTATGGTTTTTTTGTACTCATGTTTTTTTTTATTTAGGTTAGTTGGTGGAGGAATTAAATTGTGTAAGATAAGATAAAAAATAAGAAGTTTTATTATATAATTTGGTTTAGTTTTAAAAGCTTAAAAATTTGGGAAAGATATAGAGGGGCCCGTAGGGAGTCTAAGAAAGCAATATGTGATGCAAAGAATTTAATTTTTAGTGATTTATATAATATATTAGATATAAAAAAATGATCAAAATTATCTCTCAACTCGTTATAAAGAACCAAAATGTTCTCTAACTATATTAAATGACTGTTTTGGTCTCGCAAGTCCTTAAAAGGGAACCAAAATAGTCCCGCGTCATGTTGTGACTATTTTGGTTTCTCTTGAAAGAGTTTAAGGACCAAAATGGACTATTTTGATCTTTCTTAAAAATTCAATAGACAATTTTGATTATTTTCTTTATTAGATACTGAGGAGGATGAAAGATGTATAAATTAGCCAAAAAAAGAGATAAGAAAATTAAGAATTTAGTTTAAGTGAAGTGCATTTAGGATGAAAATCAAAAGTATTTTTCTTAGAATATGATATTCAATATAGGTGGATGAGATATTTTGATAAATTTTTTAATGAGACTATGAGAATATAATTTACTTTAGTGACCTTAACACCCTAAATGAAAATATGAATTTTTTTTTATCATTGTATTAGTAAAATTGAAGTTGGAGAAGTTCTAAAGAAAATGAAGAATGGAAAAGTTGTAGGACCTGATAATATTTAATCTAAGCGTAGAAATGCTTAGGATATCAAAGAATTTATTGGCTTACTAAATTCTTTAATATTATTTTGAAGATTAAAAAGATGCCATATGAGTGGAGAAGAGTGATGATTCTTATTTTTAAAAATAAAGGTGATGCACAAAATTGTGCAAATTATAGAGGAATTGTGTCATACATTAAAATTATGGGAGAGATTAATTAAGCATAGTTATAAAAATCAGTTTGGATTCATGCTGAGTAGGTCTACTATATAAGTTATACAATTGTTGAGAGGTTTGATGGAGAAGTACAGAGAGAGTAAGGATGATCTACATATGATATTTTATTGATTTAGAGGAAGCGTATGATAAAGTTTGACAAATTTTTTTTTGTTTTTCAGTTGGATTAGATCAAGGATTAGCTTTAATCCTATATCTTTTTCCCTTAGTCATGGATGTTCTTACTAGACATTTGCTAGAGGATGTACCTTGGTATATGCTTTTTGCTAATGATATTCTTTTTGTTGATAAGACTATTGAAGGAGTTGATAAAAAGCTTAGATTATGGAGGTCAATCATAGAGTCTAAAGGTTTTCGTTTGAGTAGATCTAAAAATGAATACATGAAGTGCGAATTTTATAAAATTAGATCTATGTGGGCTCCGAAAATTCGGCCTCGGCCTCCACTCGCTTTTCTTTTATCCGGCGAGGTAGTTTTAACTGAATAAGTTCTGAGGTAAATTTTGGAAGGCAGATGGGTTTGTAAATAAGACTAGATTTCGCCCTCATTTTGTGAGGACTTTATGATCTGAGTTCTGGTTTCCTATAGGCGCAAGCCCCTATAGTTAATTACCCCTCTCGATCACGAGAGAGAACTTTCGATTAAGGCTAGTCGTCGATCAGATACGTAGAGATACGTGGTATCTGGCATACAGTAGCAGCATATGGTTTAGGATACTGGTAGAAATTGGATTTGGAAATTGGATTTTGATTTAGGGTATTTAAAATAGAAATTTCACCACCTAGCACTTAAAGCGGATGGTGGGGGAATGGATGATGGACCCGATCAAGATCCCATGGTTCCGTCATCCCGGGCCATCGTGGTCCCTGTCTCTCTCTCTCTCTCTCTCTCTCTCTCTCTCTCTCTCTCTCTCTCTCTCTCTCTCTCGGAGGTCGGACGGGCGCGGCAAAGAGGGTGGAGTTACGGGAGGAGAAGAGGTCGTGGAAGCTGGCCGAAGAGGAGGGGTTCGGTCGTGTGGAATTCGCGAACGAGAGAAGAGCAGGGAGAAGAGCCGTGTGGGAAGAGACGATCGTGGCTTGTGGTCGGGATCGGAGAGGAGATCGGGATTCTCGTATGTGGAGTAGCGACGAGAGTAGAGGGAGGAGTTACGGGAGGGAGCAGCCGAAGAGGAGGGGTTCGGTTTCGTTTTAAAGGCACGAATGGGGCTCGATCGAGGAAAGGATCGCAGATTTTGCGCAAGATTTCCGGAACGGCACCGACTGCACACCGATTCAGCGAGATTTCTGGGATGCCATCGACAGATACGAGGTTTCCGGGATTTTTGGCGGGATTCGCGTGTTAGCATCGATGCATCTGACGAGTATAAGGTTTGTACGTGGGATTTTTGGCTTCTTCTCTCTTTTGCTATTTCGGGTTTCATCCGGAGGTCAACAATCTAATGGTGGGATTGTGATATTGGGTGATCAAATTATTAAAAAGAGTGCACGTTTTGAATATTTTGGGACTATTGTTTAAAGCAACGGTGAAATAGATGAAAATATTATTAGTAGAATTCAAGTTGGATAGTTGAAGTAGAGGAATGCATCGGGTCTATTGTGTGATAGAAAAGTACCCCCCCTCAAATTTAAGAAAAAATTTATAAGATGGTAGTGATACTTTCAATGCTTTATGGTGTAGAATGTTGGTCGTTAAAAGAAAAATGTGAAATTAAGTTAAGTATTGTAGAGATGAAGATGCTCAGCTGGATGAGTGGTTGCATACTTAGAAATATGATATGAAATGAGTATATATGTGAAAAAGTTGAATTAGCTCCAATGGTAGATGAGATTAGAGAGAGCCGCCTTAGATGGCTTGGTCATGTAAAATATTGGCCTTTCAATGATCTTGTTAGGAAAGTAGATGTATTAGATCCAGCCTATATTAAGAAATGTAGAGATAGACCTAAAAAGACTTGGTTATGACGTTTTAAAAATATTTTTTTTAATTAAATTTAAATGAGAATTTAATTTGTAATAGGACACAATAGAGAAAAAAGATTCATATAGCCAACCCTACATAGTGGGATAAAGACTTGTTGTTGTTGTAGATTATGACAATTAAAATCATACTCTAGATTACTTAATTACTTATTTTCACTTTCTAACATGCAGCTGCATGCATTTGTGGAGTATGAAACGGTCGAGGATGCTGAGCGAGCTGTAAGTCTAGAACTGATATTCATTTATATTAATTTGTTATCTCTTCTGTCCTTGCTTCTTATACTTAAATTTGATTGAATTTCTACACAACTACAGGTTGCTGAGGTTAATAAAGAGAGGAACTGGAGAAGTGGCCTAAGGCTTCGTTTATTAAATAAATGCATGGTATTTACATGCTTCTAGCTTTATCTTACGTACATTGACATCTCTATATATTCATGTTTGAATTAGCAATTTTCTCTAGTATCCCTATCAAAAAATGATTCTTAAGCTGAATAAATAGCAGGCAAAACATAGTTCTGGACGTGGAAGAAAAGCAGGAAATGATGGCGAAGGAGCTGGAGAAGAGGAAGAGGTTTATTCAAATTCAACCAACCAAGTAGACGATCCTTCCCAACAAGCTGAATCAGCATTCGAAACTCTGGTAAGGAGCTCTTAATGAGTTGAGTTTATATGGACCACTTTGGACATTTGCACTATTATTAATTGCATGAGTTGAGTTCTACAGGGAGGAGAAGAAGGGGCTAATGAGAGGGAAGGCGGCGGAAGGAGAGGCAAGGCGCGAGGCAAAGGCAGAGGTCGTGGACGTGTGCAATATCATAACATCAATAATCATCACCGTGGTGGTGGTGGTGGTCATGGCCATGGCCATGCCATTGGCACGCCGCCGGCAAATAATCCAGTTCATAACGAACAATCTGCTGCCGTCAAACAACCACCTGTACCTCGAATGCCGGATGGCACAAGAGGATTCACAATGGGCCGGGGTAAGCCTAGCTTTGTCGCTTCATCTTCTTCCACCGTCACAGCTGGTTAATTTCTGGTGTGGTTGGTCACAGGGCATGTAGTGTTGTTCTATCGTTGAACTCGTTGGGACATTAGGGTTTGTGTTTGTGTTCATAACCGTCTCATCTAGAATTAATGACCCTTCTTTTTTTTGGGGGTGGGCTTGTCGTCTCATGCTAAGGAAGTGGATTGGATGATATTAACTACTTAATATGGAATATTTGTGATGCTTGTTTTGTTTTCGTTATGTGATAAAAAGAAAATAAAGCTTTCGTATATTAATATCGACTTCAGAAGTCTCATTTTTTACTTTTTTTTTTTTGATTTTGAAAAACTAAGTCATCAAGCAATGGTTCAAGACCGGTTTCTCCTTTTAGTTAGTTATGATAAAATAGGTCTTTCAGTAAAATTAATTATCAAATTAGTATAAAAATAATAATTCATATATGTTTTATTTCAGTAGAACAGGCAATTATTAGTTTTTAAATAATAAAAATTATTATTGCCAAATAAAGTGCAGCATATTGGTTGTCAACTGCAAAATAAAATAAAATAAAATTTATCCCAAGAACCGCCGTAATGTTTAAATCAACATATCATATTTAGCGCGAACAAAAAAAAGAAGGAAAATTGGTACAATTTATATTCCAGAAATATTCTGAACAAAATAGTGTGATCCATTAAGATGAAAGCAACAATTTCGCTCCTCTTTTTGGCAGTCCTCATGTTGTTGCCTGCAGCAGATACCGCCAATGGTTTAGAAGAAAAGGAGTGCTGAAATTCATTTCTCAGTTCAACTTTCAAGGTTTCGATGGAGTTGGTGAAGATGGTGGCTTCAGGTCTTTGAACTGCACAGCAGAGGACAATTCTTTAGTCAAATTCTTCAAAACTGGATGCACTTCATAGCTTCATAATTGGGTAATTGAAGGCGACATAGCTCATAAATTTAGATAATGAAATGAATATATCTGCTTATGCTTTTTTTATTAGTGATCAAAGTCAATTACATGCGCACTCAAGCTTTGTTTGGAACGGCTTTTTTACTGCTTCTTGAAGCAGCTTTCCAGTACAAAAATTTTAATTTTTATACTAAAAAATTGCTTCAAAAATTAATAAAAAATCCGTCCCAAACAAAACCTCAATTAAAGCAAAAAAAAGACTTCTTCCATGCCTGGGTATGTGCTTTTTCTAGGATAGGTTTAGAGACTAAGGCTTTGTTTTGAATAATTTTCTTGTTGTTTTTTAAAGCAAATTTTTAGTTAAAAATTTTATCAAACTAAAAATTTTTAAACTAAAAAATTAGTTTAGAAATAAATAAATAAAAGTGACACAAATGGCAAAACCTACTTTATACCAAGAAAATTTAGGTGAAGATAGTCTTATACAAATTCAATCAGAATAAATTTTCTAGTAATTGTATTTATTTTAATAAAATATAATACATAACAAATTAATCAAAACTTATATTACACTTATCAATTTAATTAAATTTGAGGCATGTCCTTACTCTCTTCCTACATGTGCCATAGTTTTTGTAATTGAGCTATAGTTTTCTCTCTTCCTACATGTGCTACCAAATAGGCAGCAATTGTAATGTGTCGATAGCATGGCAATCAACAAAATCACTATCAAATTTCGATTTCTGATGGGATTTCCATGTATTCAAAAAAGTATCAACCGAACATTCCCAATATAAATACTCTTCTATATGCAATACACCAACAAAGAACGGAATATCGAGCTTCACACAAAATTCTTGGTGATGTCGATTAGTCAACCCCAATCTACTACATTTTGTATATATATATGTCATAGATTTTACCGAAAAGGAAATAAAGTGGCAAAAATAGTGCCTGCATAACTAGCAAATAAGTATGAAATAGGATAAAGTCCTCTTAAACCACTTAATTGTTCAAAGAACAATCAAACCTAATAAGCTTGATTCTCTTTCATAGGGTCATCAATCTACATACTCATTTACCTAAAAGTCTTTTGCCCTACTAACAAAACCATTACAAGAAACAAGGTAATCAAGAATAGCCTTGGAGACTAGAATAGCCAAGCAACCCTTACTATTGAGGATGAAGAGGAGATACAACATGCATCATCGCTCAGTATGGGATCAATAGGAAGTACAATGGGTAGAGATTAAACCATGACATGAACACAAGCCATAAAAAAAATATCTATCTGAAGTTAACACTAATTATAGCACTCAAAATAAATGAATAGAGGACTCATCAAACTAATACAAAATAGTATGGATAAATCAAATAATGATATTAATTATAATGACGAACCGTACAAAGTGTTTTCTAGGATATTTTTAAGGGTAAATTAGAACTAAGTCCCTAAGTTAAAGGGTCCTCTCATGTTAACCCAAGTTATATAAAAAAAAAAAAATCAAAATGGCACTTATCACTTACTGTCAATTAAAAATAGTCATGAAGTAGAATCATGATCATATGTGTAATCTAGAATATTGGATATTTCATACTTGGAATGGCGTTTGTAAAGTTCTTCAATACTTTAAGCATTAAAACTGCTCATTAGCTGTATTCTTGGATATACATGTGTGATGTTTACCTTCATCTACTGTAAACTCATACATAATAAACTTTAAAAGAGCTTTTACCTGAAACTTTTTTGTCCAAAACTCCATATTACAGAACACACAACAAGACCAACAGTATTATATAAAGTTTCTAGAGCTCCATAATTCTTAGGTAACTAATGTTAACTAGATAATTTTAAGGCAAAGACAACAATGGAAGCAAAAATGCTCAAAACTAAGGACCGACGCTTATTCATTAATATCCACAAAACTGAAGTCCATAAAAAGCTGAAGTTGAGAAATCATACATTTGGGTATGGTGACAGGGGTTTCCCATGGTCATGTGCTGTGGAAGATGATTTCGGGGACTTCATATAACCATTTTCAATGTTTTGGATTGCTTCCTGATTTATGCTGGATGAAGTTAATATCTGCCTGTTTTCTTCATGTTCTTCATTTCCTTCTCTCCTCTCCTCATCCTGATCAGATGATGTTCTACTCTTCTTTTTTGGGTAAACATGAACAGATGGAGGTAGAAGTTTTTCTTGAATTGCCTATGGTGAATGACAAAGAAAAAATAAAGGAGAAACTCACCACTCCATTCACAAAACATAATAGAAATAGAATAACAGTTTATTTAGTAAAGGTGGAGATATTTAAAGAGTAGTATTCACGTCCCAAAGACAGCCCCAGTTATGACTTACAAAGAGATGCAAGCTGAAATGCTGGTTCAAAACTTCATGAGAAGTTATTTAAATTACAGTACCAATGAATCAACTAATTCACACAAGATATTACTTAGGCTTCGTTTAGGACGGCTTTCTTTCTGCTTCTTAAAGCAGCTTTCTACTTCAAAAATTACAAATTTTGAACTAGAAAGCTGCTTTAAGAAGCAGGAAGAAAGCCGTCCCAAATGAAGCCTTAGTCGAGATAACATTCTAGCTAATTTAATGAAACAGATAACTGACCTGCCATCCATCCTTGCCTAGTACACCACCTTTAATTGCATACACCTCTTTGAAGCCATTCTCAAATAACAGTTTGGCAACTTTCAGAGAATTTCCATCAAAGCTAACTTCCACAAAAAAATACAGTAATCAATATAAATTTAATGAGGAAACTCTAAAAACTATATTTTTACTGAAGGAGAACTTATTCTATTTTTATAATAAATGAATATGGCAATCAAAACCTCTTTAAAAACTATGCAAAGTCTCAAAGATATTGTCTCTTCAATTTTAGGAAAGCTTTTGACTTGAAAGACAAATAAGAAACCCTAAATTTTCACAAATTGCCAACAAAAAAGCATTTGAGTCCTATGAAAACAAGAACCATATAGAAGAAAAATATCATACAAAACACAGAGAAACTTTGTTATCCATAAAGATCAGTTAAATTTATGCTAAGAATGCTAAGGGAATCTAAATGTTTAAGCTCACTTGTCCAGCACATATAGGGTAGTATTCCCTGGGTCTTCGAAGCTCTTCAAGACCTCCTTTATAAACTCCTCCTCGCATCCTTCCACAAATTCCAGACTCACTGCAACTTTATTTAAGATCTTCAAATTCGGAGTTTTCAAATAAGCTACACTTTGCTTCTTCCGTATATCCAACAGCTGCGAGCTAGGTTCATCTCTGAGCTTGCGAAAGGCGTCAATGGCAGAAATAAATTTGTATTTATTCAGGTATTCTTGGGCTAATGGTATAGCTACAAGCCAAACAAAAGCAAGACTAGCGACAAAGTACGGATATCGGTTGAAGAAATCATCAATGGAGACAAGAATCGATTCTATATTGATCTTCGAAGACATCTCCTCCGTTCCAGCGGCAAAACAAGGTGAGGGAATTGATACGACGACCATTAAAGGTAAGTAAGAAGCTGAGAGATCGAATAAAGTTGGAGTTTTGGAGTTGAAAAGATTGATTTTGAGTGAATCTGTAAGATGGGGCACGGAGAAAAAATTGGGAACTCTTGTTTTGAGGCATTTCGTTTGCAGGTTTGAAAAGAGAGAAGGGAAAGATTTGGGAGGAGAAGAGGTTCTTCTAATGGAGAGATGAAATGGAATAGAAATTGGGAGATGGTAAGCGGGCGTTTGGACGAAATGAGGGGTTTTGATGCTGAGGCTGTTGTTTTGGAGGGATTTCATAGAGGGTTTTGGTTGGGAAGAAGATGACGATTAGTGGAATTGAGGCGCTGTCTATCTGATCGAGAAAATTTTATACGTTTTTTTTATTTAAATTTAATTTCCAATTCGAGTAAAATTTGAGTCATAATGTTTTCAAAATTATCAAATATAAATTTAAATATAATTTTTTAATTTTTTTTTTAATTTTATATAAGAAACTGTCATATGAACCAATATTTGGAACTTACTCTATGATGGTAGGAAAAGAATACATTATTTTATTATTTATGAATAATATTATCTTTCAATAAACAATGGCATTTTTTGAGAAAATTTTGAAATGGTAAATTTTTTAGAATTTATTTATTTATTTAATTATATCTCGTAAATGATTTACTTTTTATTTGTTTTGTGAGATTTGGGATTTTTTTTTTATTGGATGATGGTGTAGGGGTGTCAAAAGGAGTTGATTGGTCATGTTCAAGTCAGACCCAATCTGAACCTAACTCATTAACCTTTTATTGTTTAATTTTTTTATAACTTATTAACAGCAAAGTTTAACATATTTGATAAAAATTAAAAAAATTATATCCGCAAATGAAAAATAAAAGATAAAAAGATATTAAATGCATTATTTTCAGGTAAACAATGGGTTCACAAGTCAATCCAAATCTAACACATTTAATAAATAAGTCTTAAAATCAACTCAAACTCGACCTGTTTTATTAAACATGTCAACCCCGAACTCAAATTTTTCGGGTCAAGATCAGGTCATTTATTAACCCCCTATGATGGTGTACCAATATTTTTAGAAGAGCTCGTCTAATTTTAAAAATCATTGATCATTTTAATTTTATCTTGGCCATAAATATTTTCTAACAATCTAGCTGATTGTTAAATGTCATCCAAACAAAGGAAAATATAATACCTAATGCACTCGTCATCTCACGTATTTTGAGGAAATGTTTTTGAGGAAATCCTTCTCAAATAAGCCTATTTTGAACACCATTAGGTGTTCAATGAGTCGCATTATAACTCTAACCATCATATTATAGAAACTAAACAACAAGGCCAATCGAAAACCTTCGAACTAATGACATGTCATTAACATTATAATGTTAACAATCTTCTTGATAGCTATAAAACCAATTCTTAAGCGTGATAAATGATCATTTATCACATGGGAAAATCTTTTCATCTTGACTCTCATTTTTCTCTCCCATTCCTAAAACTATAACACCCCACAATACTTCTTACCAATAACGTAGAGTGTCACATACATAAGCATAACATTCATAATTTTAACATCTAATATTTTCATCATTTGATTACTTGTTTATTTTTCTTTCATTGAACAATACATTTTCTGAATAAACGGAAGCATCTAAATCTATATAGTTCCAATTTCATCACAATTATAGTTACAGAGCCACTAATAAAATCAATATATATTACTGCAATTTTAATAGGTTATATATCTCACATGAAGACTCACAAACACTACTAAACAGAAAATCTAAATATTCAATAACATGTCTGATCCGTTTCAACTTTTTCCTTGTCTTTTCCTGTAATAACAGCTAGTATAAAAACTCGTAAGCTATGAGGCTCATAAAATTATGCAATTTAAATAATGAATTAAATACAAGATTATAGAGAATAACATAATTAAAATCATAATTGGATCAATTCACAAATATGTTCATATATAAGATTATTTTATTTCATTTGAAGTCTGTACAAAATATTATAATTATTCTTCTAAGATTCTGGCTATCATTTTTCATACAATTAAATGTCATAAGAATGTTCAATGGAGCCCAAGTAAACCTGACATTATCGTCATTGAATTACAAAGATATTCATTTTGTCTCTTTTGGGGTCCATTTTGCTCCACCTGCAACGCAAGTTTCATATCTGAGGTCCCTTTTGTCATACGTGTTACACTCATATCATTTCATATACAACCTTTCCTAATTTGATATTCATTTGTCTTCAAAATTTAGAACTTGCACTTGCTTTGACATGCTTCATGCTTTCATATAAAAATTCTATCTATTATACTATTTGGGTTAGTTTGAGATCCAAAGAGAAAAGAGACACCATCCAGGGAAGAGTTCTTTCATTTGAATATTCGAACCCAATGGATCAAAGGAGTCCAATGAAAGAAACTAAAGAAATGAACACAAAAGAAATACCCCACTTTAACACTTGTGTCATCTTATAGGATTAGAATCCAAGATGTTATCAGTAGTGCCCAACCACTTTAAATTTCTATAGACCTTGGTTGTAAATTAAGTGGTATTTGCCGCATAGCCTTTCATTTATATTTAATTTGTATTAATGATGTGATGATTTTATTTACATGCCTTAAAAATTACATATTTTTCATAGGTTTATTATATGCATGTGAATTTTATTTTAGCCAGAATTTTGTTAGGCTATCTGATGACAAAAAAATTTTCTACTTGTAATTAAATAAAATATTTATGCTCACATAGAAAGAAAAATGTTCCCTAAGAAGTAAGCTTGTGCACACCAGGGGTTCTCATGCATTCATATCATTCCTTCTCTTCTTGCTAGGCACATCCCTGCCTGTGGTTCGTGGTTGATCACTTGACATATTATGGTGCAGTTCTATCTAAAGGATGTTGTGCGTTTATAAGAAAAAATTTATTTTTAAGACTAATTTTTAAAAGCTCATCATATCATTTATGCATACAAAATCAATTAGCATACATTACATTAGAAATCAACTAAATAATTAAAACTTAATTGCATTAAGCATAATCATCATACATAAATAAAGGGGTTAATTATGACATTCTCTAGATGTCGGTCTCAATTTCTCAAAAACTTAAATAACGATCCACCTATCTATCATTAGATCAAATACATAATTTTAAAGCTCCTAGGTGATTTAGCTAGCTCTCCAATCCAGGCCGAGGTAAACCCAGATTTGCATGTCATTAGTTAGGTTAGGATCTACTATTATTTTGTGACCCAACTTAGATTTAGGATCCGGGGCGAACCCAAAATCATAAATCCCCAACATCTTGAATTTGATCCTAAACTTCTAAGAAAATGTCAACTTGAATTAAAATTTTCTCTCATTCAAAATTAAAAACCCAACATAGGATAGATTGAGGTACTTTTTGAATTATTTCATAATTCCAAATTGTCTCCTACTTCTCATCATTTGGTCTCCAAAATAAGTGTTCAAAAAGTGATCTAATCTCAATTGAAATTTTCAACCTCTCCTTTCATATCACTCTTAGAAAATCAAAATAAAATTTCTACAATTATTTTAATCGAAAGTATTTATAAGAGATCTAAAACTTTTTATGATATAATTAACTACGAAGACTTACCTTTGTAGGAGATTTAATAAGACCCTAGATAAAATAAACCTCATCCTACTTATCTCCTAAATAGGATGGGAGAAAATCATGATTTTGAGAAACATTTAAAAGCCTAAAATAGAACTTAAAGCATATATCTTATTTTACATCATTTATCAAGATTTTTTAATGATTTAAATTTTAAAATAGACAATCCTTCTTCTTGAAATTCCAATATCATAACCAAAAACTTTATATATTTTTTATTCAATAAATGATATAATGCATGAACCAAAAAAATAAATCATATTCTTTTAACAGGATAATAATAACATCCTTTCACCATACAACAATAGCTCTTCACAAAGATTTCCATCACAAAGGCCATCTTAACTTTACAATCACATTTCTAGAATATTGGTCTTCTCATTATCCAATGATTGAGAATTTAACTCTTGCATTTTTTTTTTGGGGAGGGGGCGGGAGGCGGGGGGGCAAAGTTAACGCTCGAACTCAACCCAATAAAATTCTTCAATTTATTTTCAATCAATATGCTATGAATTTCTCTCTACTTCATAATGATACATATTTGAAATAACATGGTTGCACATTTCAACCCTTAACATTCCTCTAAAAATTTCTAAATTAGAGTTAAATATAAAAATCAAGACTGATTTTTTACTCCTTAATTTTTGGCCCCAAAAGAATTATTGTGAAATATTTCACTAAATTTTAGTTGATTTCTTAGCATTTGAATAATTAATCCTCAGCTTCATTAAACGTATAATTTAGATTAGATTACTATTAATTTTCATAAGTAGAAAGCCATAATAATGTATTTTCAATTGGGACTATTTACCCTCTCCTTCATCTCTCCTATATTCTCTTATGAAAGATTATATCCCTTCACATTATCAAGTATCCTAATACATCACATAAGATCCCTCTTTAAAAATCCTAACTCAAAGGCAGGTCTAAATGAGCCCGAGTCAAATTTGAACTATTCATAAACATAAAGATAATAAAAATATATACATTCCCAAACAAAGCCTAAGGCTTTAAGGCTTTGTTTGATACTATTTTTTAATTGCTTTTTAAAGTTACTTTTTAGTACAAAATTTTTAATTTTTGCACTAAAAAGCTGCGTTAAGAAACAGTAAGAAATCAATCCCCCAAAAAGCCTTAGTTGAACTAGCAAGTGATGAATCATTATACTGGCAACTTAACAGTATCTTTTAGGCCTCTTAAAACAAATTACAGCTCTGAAGCAGCCAGCCTGGGCCGGCCATCAAATATCATGTCATAATATAAAGCTTGATAAGCTCAGTTAGGATGACTATGGATAAAAATTAACACATTCCAATAAATCCACCGGTTTTTTTATTGAAATAGTGTGGTATAACAAGACATTCTCAAACAGGGAAAGGAAATGCTTTAGTAAGCAAGAAGAAATGTGACCAAACCACAACAGCTTTATGAGCTTCAAGGCTTTGGAGCTCTGGTTGCTTTCCAGTATTCATATGAGCTCTTAATTGCTTCCCAGAAAGCAGGAATGGCATCACTATCCGGGATCTCTTTAAAAGAAGGAAGATAGTTCAGATCCACAATAACATGGTCTCTACTGCCCTCTTCAATCTATGGAATGTGAAGAAGAGAATCACTGAGGTTATAAATATCTTTTGTAGATTCAGTAAAGAAATTTTCAAACAGCCAAACAGAAACTGTGAACGGAACAGATTACTTACAACAACATCAAATCCGAAGATGGTTAGACCAAGCCACTTTCTAAGACATTTTGCGGCATGGCTGACTAAGTCCAAGTCAATGGAATGGTTACTGTGTTCTACACAACCAGCTGAAATGTTATCCTCTTGAGCAACTGGGAGAGATTTCAAGCTTCATTTGTTGGAAGTTTGAGTCAGGCTATTAGGTTATATATTTTTTATGAAGAGTTTGTACATCAATGGACAATAGCTACCTGTTAAAGAAGATAGAGGAAGAACCAGATTTTGCAGAGATAGATAAAAGATGAGTGGCATTTGGCATTGATTTCTTGACGGTATGAAAAACCCTCTCACCCAAGACATAGAACTTGAAAAGTAAGGATCCATGGTCTATATACTCCTGCACAAACATCGTAGCACAGGCCATCATCCTACCATTTAAGCTAATCAAGAACAAGCTGTTACTTAAAAATCCAATTAAACAATATTTACATAAACATCACTACATTAAGATCCTATGGAATTAAATGTAGATGGCTGCTTTGGCCTTGGAAGTATTCTAAAATGTGTTAGGTTGATGCTGAAGCCTTTGAAAGGGTTGAAATAGAGTGTGCGTTTAAGTTTCATATAATGGAAGGGTGAAATGAGGGATGTTGAATTCTAGCCGAATTTTGATTGGCGGAGTTTTGAATTTTGATTGAGATGTTGAACTCTTGAAAATACTTGGAGATGAAGAGAAATGTCTTAACAATTTTGGCCGAATTTTGATTGGCGGAGTTTTGAATTTTGATTGGGATGTTCAACTCTTGAAAATACTTGGAAATGAAAGAGGAATGTCTTAACAATATTTCTGAAGATTTTCATCAAATTAAAAAGGGTTTGATGGGTCAAATGGAGGCTAGAAATTGACTAGATCAGATTCAGATTAGTTATGATCTACAACTTTACGAGGGATTTTGGATGAGATTTTGTGGGGAAATGTAGGGAAATGACTATGGAATGGTGTGGGGATGAGTGTAAAAAGATTCTATGGAAAAATGAAAATTTTTTAAATAAAATTAGGATAGGCTTGCTACTCACCAAAATAATAAGATTGAAGAGATCACCAAACCTCTTCATGTGAGGGCCAGCCACCAAGCTTCCTCTTTTTGAATGGAACTCCAATTTTTGCAAACACAACCTCTTCTCATTTTTTATTCCATAATATTTATAGATGTTTTACAATGTTTTAAATTGAAACAAAATCGAAAGGAGTTGGGGCTGGCCCACCTAAAGAGGTGCAAAGGTTAGTTATACACCTTTTAGAAAAGTATAACCATCTCTTTCAATGAGGAGGTCAGCCATAACTACATGAAAAATGAACATCCTCATCTTTGCATGAAAATCTAGATGTGTTTTGTGTCCATCTCCTTTCTATTTTATTCACTCTAGATGATTGAATTAACTCCCATCTAAATCCCAACCAAAACAATCAATCACTTAATGAGAGAACAGACAAAGATATATATAAATATAAAGTTAAACTACAATCATAATAATTGAGGTTAATGGCCTAATCTAAGAGCATTCATCATTATATTCACTTAGTTAAAATAACTTTTTCTGGTGTAAGATCCAAGCATCACATAGAACAAGTTAGAAATAATGAAGTGACTATTTATGATTTTACATCCAGAATGCACTTTACAGAAGTTGACATAAATGCAAACCATATAATGAGAATTCCTAAACAATTAATACCTTATCTCAAACAGATTTGAAGGAATAATGACAACTACTGGCACAATTGGTTAAGAAATTTCAGATTCATCCAGCTAGATGACTGGACTCTTAGACGACTTCTTACCTGAATAATAGCTGGAAGTGGAACACGCAGATTCTCAAAATCTTCAATTTTAAATATTAAAGCCTGTGAAAAGCAGAATCATTAATATTGTGCAAAATATCCAAGAGTACTATAAAAAAGCATCCATAAGCTTACAAATAGGTCATGAGTTAAGCCCATTCAGTTACAGAAGAAAAATGTTCGAGTTTAAACGCAAGTCCTTAACAAACAACAAAAACCTATCACAGGCTTGACATGCATTCACAATGGGTTGAAAATACCATACCATAAGCTTATCAAATCATATCGAAAATAATTAGTCTGGATTTCAAGTAATACGTGCAATATAGACGAGAAAAAACAATTTGATGTCACAAACTACAACATTGAAGATAACTTGGTAAACAATATAGCTATAATAAAACTGTAGCTTAAAATTTTTTTATTGGAAGAGGCATTCAGTTAATACTCTTATAGCTTAATTAAGTTATTGCCAAGTAAAATTTACTTATTTTCTTTTACATGATTAAATGCGCAGAATTCTCGATATAATTATTAGAACAGGGGCTAAAACATTGTAATGACCAGATCGTGGTCCAAATTGTTGATTTCTTGTTGTTTGGGATGGGCTTTCTTACTACTTTCTAAAGTAGCTTCCTAGTACAAAAATTTCTAGTTCAGGAAATTTTTTGTACTAAGAAGCCGCTTTAGAAAGCTGTCCCAAACAAAGCCTTCATTTCAGATATAAATGCCAGGAAACATAAGTATTTAGGAAGCTATTACCATATTGTGAGCATCAGCTACCCCACATGCAACTTGGGGTTTCACAATCATTGGGAATGACAGTTTAGCTTCAGACAGTTGATCTTGTAGGCAAGTATAGTCATAATTATCCACCTGCAAATGGTTCAAGATTACTGACACTTAGAATTGAAATGACAGCATTGTATTGTGCAAACATACACTTTACACACGTGCAGAAAAAAATTCATGATTGGAGAGGAAGAGGGGGCTCATTAATTGATAGGATAAGCAGTTTATGGACTTATGACTCATTAATTAGGTGATTTAAACCCTAATATTGTAAGTGGCTACCCTGTTAACGCCCTAACTAAGACCATATGCCACAACCAAGAACTCCAAAATTCTGGGTTGATTGAGAAGGCACAATAAAGTCTTCATAAGGACTTGGGAAAACATAGCAAAGAAATAGCTTTCGGTCATATTCCCTTCGATAAAATTGCTCCAAGGACTTGAGGTTTGGGTCACACAAAATTTGGCTACAAATACTTGGGAGAATCCCATCAAGGTTATGGTTTGGGATATACTATCTTGACCATACTTATGCCAAGGTTATAAATGAATCCTATCGAAGTCCTCTTTGAACCCGATTGCTCGAAGGACTTTTATTAGAGCCTCCTTATGAAACCATGGTTGGGTCAAATGCTTTTTAATTACAATCAAAAGGGACTTTCTATCAATTATTGCCTTGGGCCATGGCTAGACTATTTCATGAACATTGCCTCACAGGCGAAGGATGGAGTAGGTGGAACTACACGATCACCTAAGGGCCTTGGGAAAACATTAAAAAAAAAAAGGGGGAATCCCCTTAGTTTCCTTCAGTCTTTATTGTAGAAATTTCTGGAGGATAGTAGTTTAATGTCTTGCCACTAGGGTGTCAATAATGTAGGTTCCACATATCTGTAGTTAGAGTTGTCATGTAATTGTGTCACCACAAAAATTACCCATTTTTTTATCCTTACGAGAGAGCTACATGAATCATGAATGAGCCATCCATCAAGATTAGGACTTATAATGAGCTAGCGAGATATTGCTAGGCCAACCTTGACAAAAAACATGTGATGATGCATACCGCATAGTGCTAGTTAACATTAATTGGAGCAGGTCCATAGTAGGCATAAGCTATGACAAGAGATTCAAAACTTATCTGCATTTTCTGCAAAGGGAGTTGCACTGAAACCAATATCTTTTGATGAAATATTTGACATAAAAGACTACCATGCCCTAAAATTAGGGGTGTCAATAAAAAAACCGACCCGAAAATTTTGAGTCTAATGTTGACCAGTTTGAAAATGGTTCGGGTTCAAGTTTAATTTTTTGACTCATTTAAATATTGAATCGAGTTCAGGTCAACCCGCCAATCCAGAATTAACCTGATTTAACATGCTTAAATCGTTTCGCATATTCAGGATTCACGGCAATGCATCTCAGTCGTGTGCATAAGAGTTAAGCATTTAATGCCATGATATGAATAGCAATAACAATCTAGGTTTTTTTTCCTTTCCATAGCCCACATGTCTGCGCTCGTAGCAAGCAATAACTGCTTCTCCCAAATCTATCTTGCTCTCTATCACTCATCACAAGAGGACAACATCATCTGAGTGTTTAAAAGTCAATGACTGAACGCTCCTTGCCATTTGCCTCCTTCCATCTCCATCCTCATTTCTCTCGTCTCGATAGTCAATATTCATCTATTCGTAAAACTCTAAATTTATAAATCAAATTTCTTCTTCTTCTTCCATTTTGATTTTGGTTGTTGTTGGAGCCTGAAGGGGTGATTTTTATGGTTAGGATTTTTTTCATTTTGAAACCCTAACCATGGGCTGGCATTTTTTTTTAAATTTAATGATGCTAATAGAAGTTAAAATGCATTTTGAGATATTGTATATTACTTGGCAGTTGGCACCACTTTGATATTGCGACTTTAAGTATAAGTTGCTTATGATATTGTGATGTGAAACAAAAAGGAATTGCAGGAATTTAATAAAATTTGTTAAGATTGTCAAATTTTAAATTAATGTTTCACAATATTAGATTCTAGGAGTTCTTAGTTGTTATTTTGCTTTGGCATGCGGTTACAAAACATATTAGAAGAACAAATAAAATAACATCAAAATGATAGTAAAGCTAGATGCGTAAATAACAAAAATCCATTAGTTAACAATTAGAGCATTCACCTTGAGTTTCCCTTGCTCGCACTCTTGAGGGCTTTAGCGGAAGAATAATTTGCACAATACTAATGATACTCCCAAAATACATAAGGCACATACTATTTTGTTCAAGGAAAAGTTAACCGGGAAAGAGGTGGTCGGTGGCTGATGGAGAATTTGCCACTAAACAAGACGCTAATGTTCATCAAGGGCGGTAGTCAATGAGAGGATCTAGTTGATGTAGTCTTCGACGGATTGGTGATGGATTGGTCAATCTCCCAATTGATGTCAAAGAAGGGGGAACGAAGAACATCCACTAGTCCTTGATCATCATAGACGAATCCATGATCTAACTCGGGATTAGCCATACATGGGTAGGAGGCCGGGGAAGATCGTGTGTCCTCTCTCTTAGATGATGATTCACGTAAGGGAGAAGAAAAATAAGGAAGGAGGGTGAGCTAGGGTGGTCGGCCAAGTTTAGGAGAGGGGTCACTTTAATTTCAGCTTTTAGGTTTAGGTTAGGGGAGGGAAACAATTTCAAAATCAAAAAATCAATTTCAGATTTTATTGTTGGGAACAACAACAACAACAACAACATCAAGCCCCTACGTGGTGTCGGCTACATGAATCTTTTTTCTCCATTGTGTCCTATTAAAAGTCAAATTCTCGTTTATTGTTGGGAACGAGGGAATAATTTAAATTTTGAATCTCCTTTAATTGGGGTAGGTTGGACGACACACTTTAATGGGAGAGGATTTGATTGAGAGCAATAGTGGGGGGGAATTAATTAAGAGGTAGATGGCGGGG